CCATGGCTCTTCTGAATTCTGCAAGGAGAGCAAGGATAAATATGTGGTACAGATGAGACAGTAGTTTAAAAAGTAGGTTTAAATGCTTGGTGAGGCATTCATTTGTTCTGCATTACTAAATACTAACACTAGGGATTTCCCTAGGAACTAAAGTGGCCCTTTTCCATCAGGGCCATGTGGTCTTCCAGTTACTGTGCTCACAAGCCTCTCAGAAATGCCATCAGGAACTTCATTTCAACCAGATCCCCAGTGCCTTCCATGTAATTGACATTTAAGGAACACAGAACTAGCAAAGTGTTCTCAATCTTAGTTGCATATCAGAATTATTGTAATGTAGTTGAGCATGCCTGGTCCTGTATCAGAATAATTTGAGTCAGGTTTGTGATAATAGAGCTTAGGCGTTTGGGAAGCTCTCCTGGAGATCCAATAGTTAGTTAAAGGTGACAACTATTGGTTTCATTTGTTTTCTCAAATGGGAATGTGCATTAAACTCACCTGGAAAGAATGTTAAAACACAGGTTTCTGGGACTCATCCCCCTAGTAACTGATTCTCTGGGCTTTGATCTGATCATTCTGGGATATTGTGAGAATCACTGGCCTAGCATTTGAGGCAGAAATTCTAGTCTGTAGTGATTTACAAAGGGAAACTAATGTGAAAATATACACAGGCAGTAGGGCTGAGAGGCACCCTGGGGGCTGGGGAATCAGGTATTTTTTTTCCTAGAGGAGATGATACAGACCAACTTTTGCATATAAGTTGGTGATGGTGGCTGTGCCAGCACTCAGGAGGCAGAGGCAGGCAGATTTCTGAGTTCAAGACCAGACTCATCTACAGAATAGGTTCCATGACAGGCAGGGCGATACAGAGAAACCCTGTCTCAAAAAATTAAAAAGAGCTCATCAGAAAAGGCAGTAGACTTAGGGAAGACCTTATGCAAAGAGCTGGGAGGTATGAGAGCTGATGCAGAGAGCAGGGCACAGATGTGGGAGAGACACAGGTGTCTGAAGTTGAGATAATCCATTAAGTCCTGCTGAGGAAATAGACTGAGGTGGTGGGGAACCATCAACTGTTCAAAGCCTGCCCTGGCCTTTCCTGTGGATTTGCAAAACCCAGAGCCATGTCTGGATAGCTAGCTTTGCTTTATCAGGCCCCGCCCCTGGCTCCAGTCCTTCCCACCCCATCCTCACTTTTGTTCCTGTTTCGATATTCCAGCCATGGATAGTTGGACATTGGCTTGGGGATTTGAGAGAAATCGGTCTGCTTTTCATGGTCCATCTTGTTTGGTGTAGGCCAGAGGTGAACTAGGACAGCCAAAAATTCAAGGGTGTGAAGTAAAGGGGGCACAGCTTGACAAGGCCCTTCCTCCTGGGACTGACTTCTGGAAAAGGAAGCTTCCAAGCGCCCAGCAACCAGGTTGCCTATGGAAACAGAACCCATTACCATTGTTGAGCCCTACTGCTGGCCTGCCTATTGAGCTGCGCATCTTAGCAGAAAAAATGGCAAAGTCACACATGTCTGCGTGACTCCAGTGGGGCACAAAGTGTTTGTGAACCACTCAAGTCAGCCCATGTTAGGGGCAGGGGTTGTTCACAGGATTGGGCATCAGGAAAATGACAGGGATAGGAAAGCTTTTATATACACATTCCTCCTTGCTGGTAGAAGGTTGTGTGGTAAGGAGCTGCTGTTCAGATCTCTTCTGTTTGCTTCTGTTGTTCCATCTACCTTGTAGCCTTTCCCTTCCTTCCTACTGACAGATCTTTCAAATCCATATCAATGCTGTCATTTCTGAAGGCTTTCCTCCCCAAGATTCCTTCCCCACCTGACTCTGATGTAATCCCTTTCTTATTCCACCCCAGTGTCTAACAGTACTGGGCAATTTACAGCAAGAAGCCTACTGTGTGTCGTTTTCTTTTCTGTTGCTGTGGTTAAAATACTCTGACAAAAGCAACTTATGTTTGGAAAGGGTTTATTTTACTTCGTAGTTCAGGTTATAATCCACTATGGCAGGGAAGTCACAGTAGTCTGTCAGGCATAGTGAGAACACTCTTTATGCTTAGCGCGCTCAATTCATTCAGTCCAGGGCCTGGCCCTGTGGTACTGTTCACATTAAAGGTAGGATCTTCCTACTACTACTAAGCTGGAGAGGTAGTTCATCAGTTAAGATCATTAGTGAAGACCCAGGTTTGGTTCCTGGCATCTATATGGCAACTTTAAACAATGGTTTAAAACTCCATTCCAGGGGATCTAATGTCTCTTCCGACTTGAATGGACACTAAGGACACACATGGTGCACAGACATGCAGGTAAACATACACATGAAATAAATAAAATCTTTTAAATTCATGTTTAAAAAAAGAAAAAGGGAAATCCCTTCCACGTATGGCCAGTGGCTTAGTTGATTCCAGACTCATTCAGGGTTTCTGACTGTCCTGGAACTTGCTTTGTAGATCAGGCTAGCCTTGAGCTCACGGAGATCTATCTGCCTCTGCCTCCCAAGTGCTGGAATTAAAGGTGTGTGGCACTACTGCTGGGTCAGACTCATTCAATCTTGTCAGCAAAGATTAACCATGACACTATGTATCAAGAAAATATGGATCATTGGGCTAGATGGGTGACTCAGTGGTTACCAATTGTTGCTCATACAGAAGACCTGAGTTCAATTCCCAGCACACTCATGGTGACTGACAACCCCAGTTACAAGAGATCCAGGAGACACACATGTGCTGAACATATATGTATGCTTGCAAAAAATTTATACACATAAAGTGGAAAAACAAATCTAAAAATATATTAAAAATATGGATCATTGAGTTATCTGTCTTAATATAAATAAACTGACATGATATGCTTTTATAAGCTACATAGATGAGGATAACATTACTCAAATGGGATTCCTATAAAAATTACTTAATCTGAGTCTAATTATAAGGAAATAAGCAAATCTAAATGACAAAATATAATCTAAACATCTAACAATTTCAATACTCTTAAGGACCAAAAAAAAAAAAAAAAAAAAAAAAAAGTTGTTCAGCCAGGTGGTGTAGCACACACACTTGTAATTCCAGCCCGAAAGTTCAAGGCCAGTCTGGGCTATGTACTGAGATCCTGACCCAATAGACAAATGTCTGGGCATGGTGGGTCAGCTGTGTAACCTCAGCGCTGGAGATGGAGGGAATTATCTTAAGTTCCAGGCCACCTTCATCTACATAGGGAGTTCCAGGCAACTCAGGGCTTTGTAACAAACCCCCTCTCTCTCTCCCTCCCTCCCTCCCTCTCTCTCTCTCTCTCTCTCTCTCTCTCTCTCTCTCTCTCTCTCTCTCTCTCACACACACACACACACACATAGCCAAAAACTGTGTTAAAGAACACTGAAAAGGCCGGTTTTGGTAGCACATGCCTTTAATCCTAGCACCCTGGAGGCAGAAGCAGGTGGATCCCAGAGAATTATAGGCCACCCTGACTTACATAGTCAGTTGTAGGCAACCAGGGCTACACAGTGAGATCCTATTGTGTTTTTTTTCCCAATAATACTTAAAAGATATACCTCTAAATACCATGTGTGTACTGAATTAGACTCCCCCCACTCCAGGCAGGGGTTTTCTGTGTAGCCTTGGCTGTCCTTGAACTCACTCTGTTGATCAGGCTGTCCTTGAACTCACAGAGATCTGCCTGCCTCTGCCTCCCTAGTGCTGGGATCAAAGGTGTGCACTACCACTTCCTGGCCTGACTTAGAGTCTTGCATTACCGGGAGAGTGGGAGGATGTGATAATATATATTTGGTGATTGTGCTTTAGGAAATAGTAATGTCATCGTTAAGTTTCCTGTGTTTTTCACTTTGTAGTTACATTCTTGTTATTAGTAGATAATACTGAAACCCTTAGAGGTGTAGTGGTATTGCATATGCAGCTTTGAGGGGCTCAGAAAAAAGATGTTTAACCAGAGAATTTAAAAGATTTGTTTGAAAATTTTTTGTGTTTAAAAATTTGTAATTTGAAGCTGGGCAAACATGTAGAGATTTATATTAGATCTAATGGGTTTAGAAACTTTTAAAACTTGCTTTCCTTTCGTTGTAGAATTTTGGGTAAATTTCATTTTACCATGATTTTTACTGAGTGTTGAGATGGTGAGATGGCTCAATGAGTAAAGATGTTTGCTGCACATGCCTGGTTACCTGAGCTTGACCCCTGGACCTCATGAGAAGATAAAAGGAGAAGATGGAACCCACTCACTGTGTGCCATGGCACATATGTCCATTCTCCCAATCCTTTCTCTCTCTCTCTCTCTCTCTCTCTCTCTCTCTCTCTCTGTGTGTGTGTGTGTGTCTCACACATAATTTAAAAATGAAAACCATAAACATCTAATATCCACTCTGAAGTTATAAAGTAAAAAAGGATGATGAATGTGAGGAGGTGAATCAGTGCTGGGCACATAGTGCTCAAGTAATGTTATCTACATCTATGACTACATCTGTTATCTGTATGTTTTCACCTGAAGGGACACATAGGTGGGAAAGGTGGACTACCTAACCCCCACCCCAATGTGCTGGTACAGTTGGTACAGTTATCAAAAACTTTAAAACCTTGTCTTAAATAATGTAGGCCTCTGAAATTGTCCTTAAGTCCTATTCTAGGAATAATAAAATAGTGTTAGAGGAACCCACTGGAGATAAGGCATGTGTCAGCTAAGGTGGAAGGGTCAGTCGAATCCCGAGGAAGCAGGCAGGGAGGTGTCGTGGCAGGGATCCAGATAAATCCTGGGAGACTTCTAGGTAGTACATCATGATACTTCGATTTCAACCCTAGTTAGTCCATAAGTCACTGGTTACTTTACCAGCTTTGCCTATTTTCAGAGGTGTTTGCTCCCAGCCCTGCTAATTGCACAGTCCATTCTTCCTAAATTTGGTGTTGATACCAGATGTGTGCCTGAATCTCTGCATGCTTAATGCTTGTAGGGAAGAGGTTCCTTAGGAAGAAATCAAACCAGGAGCCAGCTTTGTCCTTGCCTCAGAAGTTTTATTGAAACGCTAATTTCTTGGATTTGCTGTGCAGAGCCTGTGAGGGCCTGAGATATGAACCATTTGTACATGGCTCTCCATTTTCTTATTTGCTTGAGATATACATAGGCTTCTTTTCTTGTCCCCAAACCAAGCTGAGGAGCCTGAAGCTCAGAGCCTGAAGACTTCCTGTTGTTACGGGGCAGGGCCTCAGTAATCTCCTGGGCTCTAGGAGAGAATGCTGTTACAATTTCTATGGTATGGTAGCATCTATGCCTCCCAGGAATGAGTGGGAGCAGGGGGTTGCTGAGTGGCATCCCCAAGCTGGTTAGGACTAGAGCAAGCCATGACAGGTAAGTTATACAGAATGAGGCTCAAGAAACCCTCCGTTCTACTTCATCTCCAAGTAGTTGATGTATTCTTGAACCCACTTCTTTTTAGGGTTGGCACACACTTGACGGTTCCTTCGGGTCACAAAGCTGTAGGAGAGAAAAAGAGGTTAGTAGCAAGGCAGCTTTTGGTGTGAGGAGACTGAAAAACATAAAAGAAAATGGTTACAGAGTTGGATAGGGCATTTTTTGTAGCTCAGGACTGTTTGCTTCCTTTTAGAAAACATTTCTTTTTCTGCTGTAACTAAAGGCTCCAAGCTACAAGCAGAGTTCCATTCATGTTAATCCCCTACAAATACACACAAATCTGAAGCTCAGCACGGAGAAGGCCAAGCCCTGGGCTTTTCTTGGCTCTTGCCTTATGCTGAGTGCTGAATTTAAAGAAGTTGAGTATTGATTGTACTTAAATCAGAACCTGAGCTGAGGAAATTAAGAGGGTACCCTAAGACTGGCTAGTGGCACTCTCAGCCTATAGATAGCGAGTCAGAAGACCAAGATACCAACTCCTGCAGTCAAGATTGCTGGGGCCTTCATTTCCTCCTCCTTTATATAGTATGTGATACCAAGAACAAGTCATCTTGACTAAGCCTTCCTCTCTTTCTTCCTTCCATTTTTGGGGCCCCTTGCTCATCTGATTTCCCTTTCCATCTGTCTCTTAAGAGCGGTGTCCTCAAAGACAATGCCCTTTTGAGTTCTTTCCTGCTCTGACCCAAGGTGTGGCATAGAGTTGATGCTTGGTAACATTTATTGAATGGATGAATGGATGAATGAATTGCATTCATTTCTAACACATGCGCGCGCGCGCGCGCGCACACACACACACACACACACACACACACACACCATTTAGATAATGACAATAGAATGTTGATACTTCTTTATACCCGTTATGTGCCAAGGGATGGTCCAAGGACTATTATTCTCTCTGTGACCTAGTGAAAAAAGTGCCTTAATTACCTTCTTTTGGAACCACCTCAGAGAGGCTGAGGGGCCCCAGCTTGTCAAATGGTATAACTAGGATTCTAACATGGCAGACCAGCTCCGTAGCCAGGGATGGCCAAGATAATACAGCCTAGCTTCTTTTTATTGGAAGTTCCTGGACCCTTTCCTCAGCTCTTTGCTTATACTCCATCCAACATCTCAATGGATTGTCTTGCTGGAACTTTGCTTGGTTTCTTCCTCCCTTATCCAGTTTGCCCTCTAGATCCGTATTGTGGAATATTATTTTAACTGGATAAGGATGTGTTACATTTGTTATACTGTGGAATATTACTTTAACTATGTGTAAAAAATAGCCACGGATGGCAATTTTATTCGTCTCTGCCTACTCATAATAGGTGCAAAAGGAATGGTTTCAAAAATACTAATTTTCAGAGCTAAATTTAGTAATGCTAAATATTAATATTACACTTTCAGTAATTCACCAAAATCCAAGTTAATCTTTGCCAGGGTCACAAAAATCTTTGGATTGGGGCTGGAGAGATGGCTCAGCAGTTAAGAGCCCTGGCTGCTCTTCCAAAGGCCCTGAGATCAATCCCAGCAACCACAGGATGCCTCACAATTATCCATAATGAGATATGGTGCCCTCTTGAGGCCTGCAGGCGTACATGCAGGCAGAACACTGTATACATAATAAATAAATAACTTAAAAACTTTTTTATTAACATTCTTCAATCTTTTATTGTCCCATCTTTCTTTTTAATGATTTATTTCATGTATATATTTCATCTGCATGTATGTATGTGTACCATATGTGTGCCTGTGCCTGAGAAGTTCAGAAGAGAAACATTGGATCCCCTGGAACTGGAGTTGTAGATAATTGTTGAGCCATCATGTGAATGTTGGGAACTGAACCTGCACCCCCTGCAAGAGCAGCCATGGTACTCTTAACAGCTGAGCCATTTCAATAGCTCTCCATTTTCATTCTGTAAATCATTAGCATCTTAACTCTCTTAAGCTACTGTCACTAAAGACTTTGGAAGGAGCCCCAGAGACAGGCTCCATCTCTCACTTGCTGTGCAGCATTGAGTAAGTCAGCAAACACCTCTGAATCTCAGTTTCATTATGTGAGAGACTTGTGCATACCAGGCAAGGCTATGCACACAGACATGACACTCCAGTAAGTAGTCCCTGTGTGTCAGGGATTATTATAGTTCCCCAAATCTATCCATATGTACACTTAAAGCTGAATCTCATTATAACTTCTTAAATAGATAGGATTTTTAAAATTTTATTTACTTGATTGAAATTAGGGTTCTGACCTTGACCCATCCTGTCCTTGACCCTGCCTAGTTCCTCAGAAGATTAGCTCAGAAGATTAGGGTATGAAATATGGAAATTTCTGGCTCTTAACTGGAGTGGGATGATGGAACAGATCTTCTCCAGAGCATTTCAGCCTGTGCTAAAATAAAAGCTGGACCAACAAAAGTTGGTGTCCTAGGAATTGTGCCTGTCAGAGTAGGCAGGATCCTCTAAGGCAGTGGTTCTCAACCTTCCTAATGCTGCGACCTTTTAATACAGTTTCCTGTATTGTGGTGACTCCCCACCATAAAATTATTTTTGTTGCTACTTCATAACTGTAATGTTGCTACTGTTATGAACCATAATGCAAGTATTTCTGAGATTAAAGTTTGTCAAAAGGGTCATGGCCCACAGATCGAGAACCATTGCTCTAAGGACACTGTGTCTAGTTCTTTTTATATTAAGGTTGGAAGCTCTGAACTGGAGATGAGCAACCATGGCTATTCTAAAGGATGTGTGGGGGTGATAGGAGGCACTCTCTAAGAAAGATCATGCAGGGCTGTAGTCAGGGCGTGGTGGGGGTAGGGTGGGGTGGTGACTTTTATACCCAAAAGAGGAACCTGTGGGGTTGAGACTCACACGACTGCAAAGTTGGAGCACTTGCTGCTGGTGTAGAAATACTCCTTGACATGGACACGAGGCAGTGCTAGGGAGAGATAGCCAAAGCAGCAGGGAGTTGTGTCCGAGCCATCTGGGAGAAGGAGGAGAACTTTTTATTAATTGCTGGTTATGCTGGGCGTTGTACCGGGCTCTTTACATGATTTATCTTGAAAGCAGTGTTTATTGTCCTTTCTCTTGGCAGAAATGGAGGCTCAGAGGACACAGTGGCCACAGTGGAGATTTCAACAGGAGCCTGAAAGGATCTATCCAAACCCTATGTGGTCCTAGAGCCCAGCTCGTGCTTTATGCTTTGTACTTAACACTGGCTGGCTCCTTCTCCTCTCTGGACCTTCTTGCCTTGTTCTTTCTGCCCCTTTTAGTGGATTCAAAGCTCAGTTCCTTTGAGATATAGAATAAGATCTAGGGAAGCATCCAAAGCCAAACTCCATAAAAGTCTTCTAAATGGGGCCTGCCCTGAACAGAGAAGCTCTGAGTGGTCCATTAATTCAAGACACCACTAAGTGGCACAGTTGTCATCCCACAACAGAGCTGTGGTTCTTATTTCCCAGGCAGATAGGGCTGGTTGGAACACCAGTTTCCATACTCTAATAGTATGCACCCTTAGACAAGGATCTGTCTCCTTGGGCCTGTGTTTACCACCGTAAGTCAAGAACAGACACTGAAAGACCAATTATATTAAATAGGATGGCACAAGTAAAGGGATCTGTGTGATGCTTGACCTGTATAGGCATGTAGTTCTCTCTCTCTCTCAAGCCCTATTTCATTCCAAGAAAAGAGAGACTATCACACCTCAGGCATTTAAAAAACTATTAGACATTTCTTAGAATGACAGATATGAGTGAGTCCTTTTTCAAAGTCAGCTCGAGCTACCCTGCCTTATGGGATGCCCAGCACCAGCCTACACTTAAGGAGAGCCCGCACAGTTCATAGTGTAGACTTTGGAGACACAGAAAAGTTTATCAGGGGATCCTGCCATAATGTGGCTTAGAGATCTAACAGGGATGACAGGATCACTGCGTCAATGATACATAAGAATGTACATGATGTTGAAGCAGTATACATACTCTGATTACAAAGAGGAGATAGTCTGGGGTGGCAGGGTGGGGTGGGCATCTAGACAGAGTATGAACAGTGGTGGTCAGAACCCTGGACTTACGTGGGGAGGCAGATGTAGGAGCGCAGAGAGTGGCAGCAGTGAGGATGACAGCGAGGACAGCTGCAGAGATCTTCATGGTACCTGGGGCAGAGGCTGTGAGAGATGCATTCATTGTCTCAGGACCCTCGGCAGCAATGCTCTGCAGCTCAGACAGACCTTTTATAGGGAGCCAGGGTAGCAGAGGAAGTGCCCCCCCACCCTCCACCCCCTCACCCCCCCACCCCTCCACCCTCCCCCACCCCCACCACCGACTTGGGAAGTTTCCACAACAGACACCAAACACTAGTTGCTGTCACAAATGAACATACACAAAATGGAAAAGGAAACTGAAATCACCTTCAGAAGTGTATGACTCTGCCTCTACTGCTCAACAGTCCAAGTATGACTTATCAGCTCCCTTTCTGCCCAAACACAGTAGGGGAAAAATCCCTTCCTCTGCTCAATCCTTAGATCTTCCTTCCCAAGCAGGCCCTCCCCAGATAGCAGAGAGAGCTGCTGCTTTATGGCAAATGGGGGTCGGTTAAGTTAAGGTCAAGACCTATTGATCTTCACTTGGCAACTTCCCAAGTTCTAGTCCAGGCTTGGTTTTTGTCTTCCTATTTTCTCCATGGAAGAATATTTGTCATGAACATACTATATCAGAAACAGAACACACTTGTGCCTTTCTACAATGTCAGACTTTATTGATAACAATAAATTAACAAGGGATTTGTTGACAGCAATTTGCCAAGCAATCTTGATTTCCTTTATAACCAGGTAGATATAGAGAGGTATCTACTGTGTGGTGTGTGATCTGAAAGTTAATATTAGTAATTAAGATAGGGATAAAAGAACTGTGTCCTGTCTGTCTATCTATCTATCTATCTATCTATCTATCTATCTATCTATCTATCTATCTAACTATCATATCTATTCTTATCATCTATATATCATTTATCTGTCTAGGAGCTAGAGGAACTAATAGGGAACCCCATAGGCTGCAAAAGAGTCTCTATAGGGTTAAAGATTAAAAACTTCTGCAGAACCAAGCTTCAGGGTTTCAGGTCAGAGCTGAATCCAGATTCTAGTCCCAGCTATAGGAGCAAAATGTAAGAACATGGGTGGTGTAGAAGTGAAAGGGAGGACTGGAACCAGTGGACAGTGGACAAACAAATGGATGGCAGATGCACTAGTGAATGGTAATTCCAACAGGCCATGCCACAGTGGGAATGGGTCTGAGCTCAAGTTCTGGGACAGTCTGGAATTCTCTGTCTATCAGTCCTGTGACACACATACCATGTGGCCACATGACAGGCAGATGGAGGGAGGCTGTTACTTAACATCATGTTAGGTGTTCTGAAACCAGCTGTGTGTCTCACTTTGGTCCTGTCTATAACTGGACATTGAAGGATGGGGACTCCTTGAGCCACTGGGTTAGAGGTAGGGACCTCACTCCATTCTAAAGGATTTGGTACATTCAGAATTAGGGACAGTGTAGCCAGCGGATAGGGGCCGAAATTGGTTTCTGAATAAGAGGTAAGTATTTTTCAGCAGTGACCAAACTGATAATTGAAGAGTAACTAGATACTGAGAACACTCTTTCCTTGTTGTCACTCTCTCTCTTCTTTTCATTTTTTCTTTTTGAGGCAGACAGCTTCTTTCTATGTAGCCATGGCTGTACTAAACTTGTTATATACTTGTTTTATGGGGTGAGGCTGGGCTTGAACTTGCAGCAATCCTCCTGTCTGTGCCCCATGAATACTAGGATTTTCAAATGTGTACAGCCACACCCACCATGTAGTATCAAAACTTGGGAGGCTGAGGCAGGAGGATCTCGAGTTTGAGCCTTTGAGGGAGTTGCTTAAGTTTAAAGAGGTTAAGTGCGTAGCTTATGGTCTAACTTGCAGTGATAAATCTCACTGAATTAGTCCCCACTTTCTACCACCCTTCATTATTGCTAGAGAAACCCAGCAGCTCTTGTCGAGGCTCTGAGATGAAGTGGGAGGAGGGAGACGGACAACACACAAGTAAATATACACTCCCCTCAGTTGTGAACCACTTCTTCACGACCCTGTCTCCTGTCTTTTGTGTTGAGAAGGGGCTCTCACACTGTGACTCAGGTTAACCTTAAACCTCTTCATTCTCTGCAGTGCTTGACTCTTAACTCTGTGTGCATAGAATCTTTTACAGATTTGTTTATTTTCTCTTATGTGTATGTGTGTGCAACGGCTGACAAGCATGTACGCATACAGTATACATACTGACAAGTATGTGTACCATCTGTGTTCAGTGCTCTTGGAGGCTGGAAGAGGGTATTGGACCCCCTGGAGTGGAGTTACAGGCAGTTGTGAGCTTCCCGCTGTAGGAGCTGGGAATCAAACCTAGGTCTCCAAGAGCAGTCTTAACCACTGAGCCATCTGTCTAGTCCAGAGCACAGCATCTTACCATGTTTGTCTTCTATTTGTCTTTGTATTCTTCCCCTTCTTTTCAGCAAATGTTTTGGATAGGCTAGATACTAAATCAATGGTGACTTAGTGTAATAATTTCTTATGGTATATTTACTAAGTACTTATGGCTTGTCATGAAGTTTTGACATAATGACATGTTTACAGCACACACATGAACACAGTTGTCTCCTCATATAGCCACCACTTTGTATTTATGTGTTATAACCATCTGAAATATCTCACCAATTTTCCAGCACCAGACGTGGTATGACTAATTGCAGTCTCCAAGCTGTGTTTTAGATCTGCAGCCTTATTCATCCTGGGTTGCTGCAGCTTTGTATACCCCTGGGCCGCCATCCCTCCATGCCCCCACCTCCCTGCCCCTTATAACCGAAGATCTACTCTTGTTTCTTAAGACTGCGCATAATGATGAGGCCGTGCAGGGTTGTGTGCTCTCTATTGCTTTTTAGTGACTTTGAGCAACTTGCTATGTCCTTTGGCCTTAAGTCTTCCTCTATGAATTGAGAGACTGCATAGAATCTGTGTTGGTTAATCAAGTCATTTAAGATAAGATGAAAGCGTGATCTTTATTATTATGATTAATTTTTAGAGCCCTGAGCAGACATACTTGGAGGCTTCTGAGTCCTTGCTGCCAGCTCTTATCAACTCTCACACCTGTGGTGTGTGTTTGTATTATCCTCTCTGATAGGCACACAGCCCTCCAGGCACGTGCTACCCATCTCTCTGGCCTGGCCTAGCCTCTGTTCTGTTTTCCTTCCTTCATTGACTCCTTTCCTAAACTTAGCTGGCTCTTGGCCCAGTCAGACTGACGTTATGGAGTCAGTTGCAGCCAAAGAAACTGAAACTCATTTCACACGAATTCTAGTGTTTTAGTCAGACATGGGGTTTTCCCCATGATTGTGTGGGTCACCCTGGCTCTTCTGGCCACTCCTATCAAAGTGTGGGAAACAGAGAAAGTCCAGTTTCTAGGCATCTGGGCTCCCAGGAAAGCCAGAAGCAAAGCCATTTCCTCCCATGGGCTTTTGCTTCCCCATATGCAGACTGAACATGCGTCTTGATCCTTCCTTACATTTGGGGCAACAAATTGCTAACTTGGACCCTCTGCTTCCAGAGGGTCCCGTCTCTAATGCCTGCCGTCATAACAGCTCTACCACATTCAGACTCGATGCTTGTCACCTAGCTCCACCAGCTCTTCTCACCTTTACCACACAGGACAGTGGCTCTGAACACCCATGTGAGCTGCAGCTGGAGACCACATGCAGTGTGATGATGATAAGAACTGTGTTTGGGTCATACAGGACCCACCACGGGTCACAGGAGTGAGTGAGGTCGGGGTGATGGGGGCATGTGTTCTTCCAAAATTGCTCATCAACAGATAACTGTAGGCCCTTCTCTTCCATGAGAGGAGTTCATTTGCATTGTTTTCTTCTGCATATTGCTTCTAGGATTCCTTTTTTTGTTTCATACCCTCATGAAATTTTTTATCCTTTACGCTTTAGGAAAGCTTACTGCCAGAGCAGTTTTGCTGCCCTCCCCTCCAGAAGGAAGTCAGATGGAGCAAGGCAGACCTGAATTTGAAATCAGATAGCACTTGCTGTCTCTGCACCTTTTGTTAAATCTAGCTTTGGTTTCTCTTATGGAAACTGGGCTTATGACACCGGGGATGACCCAATGGAGGCAGTCAGGAAATGGCCTCTTTTTGGTTCTAAGTGGGTACTTAGAAACCAGTCTCCAGATTTCCAAGCTCTGGCATTTCTTTCCTTACTATCCTCACCTTCCCAATAAAGAGATCATGTCAGCTGAGACTTTGGAGGTACATGGCGAGAAGTGGAAAGCCGAAAGTGATGCCTATCAGGTTGGACCCTTGAATCAGCTCAAACACTCGGGCTGGAACTCTGAGAGATTATTCTGCTTAGGAAGAAGCCGGTGACTCATACCATGTCTCTTCTTCCTTCCTGGCTGCCCCACCCCCTGCAGGCCAGCACACAGACCCCTTTAGATGATCTTGACAGGCTTAAGAAGGAAGTGGCAAAAAAGTGCCTGGATTCTGCCCCGTTTTTTGATCTGGCCCCAGAAGGTCCCTTGTTCCTTATGATTTTCTTCCAGTCTCATAGATGGGGGTCTCCAATTCCTGGTTTTTCAATGCTGCCTCCCCTTCCTCCGTTGCCCACCCCTCAGCACTGAAGCCCTCAGAGTCTTCTACCCTCAGAACCTCCCTAGGTCTTTAGTGTTAGGAATGCCAGGATGGGTAGGGAAGTCCCCTTGGGGAATTTCGTTGGGTTGGAGTTTGGAAATTCTGCACCTTAGTCATTGATCTACACAATCATCTCCATATCTCCAGTCTACTAACATGCATTGTTGACAAATTATAAAGTAATATTTGTTGACTCAGTCAAGAAGGTGATGTGCTGGGGGTGATGAGGAGTGGTTTATAGAAAGATCACACCATAGGAGATGTGGCTTGGAAGAGGGGCAAGTGTCAGAGTGTTGTTTCTTAACTGGATACACCCTGGTCCTGTAACACTGTGGATTCCCGGTTCTAGGGGAGGAAGCACAGCTTTGTCATTTGCTTGCTGGGAGAAGACATCTGACCTGTAGGAACATCGAGAACAAATACCTTGGGGAGGAGGGGTGATTCCATGAAAAAGTGTCAAGGTGACCCTTGAGACTGAAGCAT